CAAACTCTCACAAGTCAGGCCGGGCTTGGGGAGTAGAAGAACTCCCGAACCCCATCAACCAGGTATCAACCAGGGAAATGTGCCATCATTCAATACCGTTACTGTCTTGCCTATACCCTGCCAATTCGCCGGCAATAATTGCTGAACCAGTTTCTAAATACATGATGATGTGCCGACCATCATGTATCATGCAGTATGATGGTAAATGATGATACTGTTGAGCAGAAATATATGATAAGTTATGTGTGTGTGCAAAAATCCGCTACAACACGTTTCTGGGTTGATAATGTTCCTTGCTGTATCGTGACCAGTATGAAGCAACATTGGTTTTATATTTTACCATCTTGAGGTTATCTTGAGATGATTTCGGGGCTTTAGTGTCCCCGCGGCCCGGTCCTCGACCAGGCCTCCACCCCCAGGAAGCAGCGCGTGACAGCTGACTAACACCCAGGTACCTATTTTACTGCTAGGTAACAGGGGCATAGGGTGAAAGAAACTCTGCGCATTGTTTCTCGCCGGCGCCTGGGATCGAACCCGGGACCACAGGATCACAAGACCAGCGTGCTGTCCGCTCGGCCGACCGGATCCCCATGGCTGCCAACTGCAAGAAATGCGCATAAGTTAATAAAGCACCGTTATATTAGCGTTTTCTATGCATCGGCCTCGATAGGTTAGGAGGGTTGCTTGGGTTCGAATGTTTCTTGTTAGGTAAAACAGTGGTAGTTTTTATATAGGAAGTTACAAGGGTATCCACTCCGTCAAGTGACTGCTTCGCGATAATAAGAACATAAGAACAAAGGTAACTGCAGAAGGCCTATTGGCCCATACGAGGCAGCTCCTATCTATAACCACCCAATCCCACTCATATACTTGTCCAACCCGCGCTTGAAACAATCGAGGGACCCCACCTCCACCACGTTACGCGGCAATTGGTTCCACAAATCAACAACCCTGTTACTGAACCAGTATTTACCCAAGTCTTTCCTAAATCTAAACTTATCCAATTTATATCCATTGTTTCGTGTTCTGTCTTGTGTTGATATTTTTAATACCCTATTAATATCCCCTTTGTTATGTCCATTCACCCACTTGTAAACCTCAATCATGTCACCCCTAACTCTTCGCCTTTCCAGTGAATGCAACTTAAGCTTTGTTAATTTTTCTTCATATGAAAGATTTCTAATTTGGGGAATTAATAAATAATGATTTGTAATTGAATTGTATTGACATATTGTTGTCAATAATGTCCTGGTCTTTGAGCAGGAACTTAGACAATTCTGTAGTACAGTGAAGGAATGATAAGTAAAAATGTGGGTATTTTCGTCTGAGGAATGGGCGCCATGTTGGTAATTCTGGGCTGTTGTTTACATTCGAACAGCTGATTTGGGAGAAATTCCCCTTCTTGTCCTGCGTGACGTCAGAGGAGACGATTAATCACCCAATCTCGCCTCCTTAAGACGTAAATATCATCCAATCCATCTATCATTCATCATCCAGGTTACCATCCCAGTAATGATGGCGGGTAAAGAACTGATCATCCGGCAACTCTGTGGAGATAAGACCGTGTAATCACAGGCGATACCCAAACTGTGTTGATAGATAACAGATAACACTAATCAGTGTACCTGAGTCACCTGTAGGGAGAAAGAAGTAACATTGTTGTTCAGTTGTTCAGTGTAACATTTTGTATTGGCGAATCAGGCCACGGAGGAGAGATTGTTCAGCCTATGGTTGATTAGTTCTTCAGAGGTCACGCGTGTAATTCGAGAACCTGTTGGGATTACTTCAGGAGACTTGGTGACTTGACACGCGTCCAGTGATGGGTCGGCTGATGTCGAGGGTGAGCTAGTGAGGATTACCGTTACCTTGAGGTTACCTTGAGGTGCTTCCGGGGCTTAGCGTCCCCGCGGCCCGGTCGTCGACCAGGCCTCCTGGTTGCTGGACTGATCAACTAGGCTGATCAACCGATTGATAAAGATTGATAAAGATTAAGCCACCCAAGAGGTGGCACGGGCATGAATAGCCCGTAAGTGGTACCTGATCAACCGTGTCGAGGTCCTGCTTATACGAGGCCCAGCAAAACCGTCAATATGCCTGGTGAGGAGAGAGAATGTGTGTGTGTGTGTGTACTCACCTAGTTGTGCTTGCGGGGGTTGAGCTCTGTCTCTTTGGTCCCGCCTCTCAACTGTCAATCAACTGGTGTACAGGTTCCTGAGCCTATTGGGCTCTATCATATCTACACTTGAAACTGTGTATGGAGTCAGCCTCCACCACATCACTTCCTAATGCATTCCATTTGTCAACCACTCTGACACTAAAAAAGTTCTTTCTAATATCTCTGTGGCTCATTTGGGCACTCAGTTTCCACCTGTGTCCCCTAGTGCGTGTTCCCCTTGTGTTAAATAGCCTGTCTTTATCAACCCTGTCGATTCCCTGAGGATCTTGAATGTGGTGTGTGTGTGTGTGTGTGTGTGTGTGTGTGTGTGTGGTGTGTGTGTGTGTGTGTGTGTGTGTGGTGTGTGTGTGTGTGTGTGTGTGTGTGGGGTGTGTGTGTGTGTGTAACGTTTGACATTTGTCAAGATATCAGCATTAACTCGTTAATGCTGATAATCCCAGGAACTTGTGAAGGATATTCACATTCTTACTCGTATCTCTTAATCTGATTCAGGCTGGTGGACTTCAGGGCTAAACCTCTGAATAAAACCCCTCGACCAGCTCACGAAACCTGTACATCTTTCCACAATCATGATGGCTCTGTTTACATGTATTACTATATTCATATTGCTCTGTTTTATGGCTCATTTTGCACACGAAGCCAGATAGACGTGTTGTATCCAGACAGACTTATTTATAACTATACGGAAAGCATTCATATTTACTTTAGTTACTGCAGTAAGGGTGTCCATTATAGAAAACGTTTGAATGAGGTAAACTAAACCTTTTCTTTTTCACTTTTGCCTCATTTTTTTCCTTTCTGATTGTCTGTTTTGCCGTTGCAAATTGTTATACCTGGTTGATGGGGTTCTGGGAGTTCTTCTACTCCCCAAGCCCGGCCCGAGGCCAGGCTTGACTTGTGAGAGTTTGGTCCACCAGGCTGTTGCTTGGAGCGACCCGCAGGCCCACATATACCTGGTTGATGGGGTTCTGGGAGTTCTTCTACTCCCCAAGCTCGGCCCGAGGCCAGGCTTGACTTGTGAGAGTTTGGTCCACCAGGCTATTGCTTGGAGCGGCCCGCAGGCCCACATATACCTGGTTGATGGGGTTCTGGGAGTTCTTCTACTCCCAAGCCCGGCCCGAGGCCAGGCTTGACTTGTGAGAGTTTGGTCCACCAGGCTGTTGCTTGGAGCGGCCCGCAGGCCCACATATACCTGGTTGATGGGGTTCTGGGAGTTCTTCTACTCCCCAAGCCCGGCCCGAGGCCAGGCTTGACTTGTGAGAGTTTGGTCCACCAGGCTGTTGCTTGGAGCGGCCCGCAGGCCCACATATACCTGGTTGATGGGGTTCTGGGAGTTCTTCTACTCCCCAAGCCCGGCCCGAGGCCAGGCTTGACTTGTGAGAGTTTGGTCCACCAGGCTGTTGCTTGGAGCGGCCCGCAGGCCCACATATACTGGTTGATGGGGTTCTGGGAGTTCTTCTACTCCCCAAGCCCGGCCCGAGGCCAGGCTTGACTTGTGAGAGTTTGGTCCACCAGGCTGTTGCTTGGAGCGGCCCGCAGGCCCACATATACTGGTTGATGGGGTTCTGGGAGTTCTTCTACTCCCCAAGCTCGGCCCGAGGCCAGGCTTGACTTGTGAGAGTTTGGTCCACCAGGCTGTTGCTTGGAGCGGCCCGCAGGCCCACATATACCTGGTTGATGGGGTTCTGGGAGTTCTTCTACTCCCCAAGCCCGGCCCGAGGCCAGGCTTGACTTGTGAGAGTTTGGTCCACCAGGCTGTTGCTTGGAGCGGCCCACAGGCCCACATATACCTGGTTGATGGGGTTCTGGGAGTTCTTCTACTCCCCAAGCCCGGCCCGAGGCCAGGCTTGACTTGTGAGAGTTTGGTCCACCAGGCTGTTGCTTGGAGCGGCCCACAGGCCCACATATACCTGGTTGATGGGGTTCTGGGAGTTCTTCTACCCCCCAAGCCCGACCCGAGGCCAAGCTTGACTTGTATTCCATGTTTTTCTCCACGGCCACGACTGACGTGTGTGTCTCATGTGTTGCAGGCGAGGTGGAGTACCTGAGCATCTTGGACAACAAGGGGAGCACCAAGACCTACTGGGAGTCCCGCATGTTGGCCACTATGGACGACGGAGGCTGGGAGAGTGTAGCCAACGTCCGCTTCCAGCCCCTGCCAGGGACCACGCCCGTTATTGTCCAGGTAGGTCACGCCCCTGGAGAGCATGCAGGGTGGCACCCGCCCCTGGGGAAGGAGGGAGGGTGGCACCCGCCCCTGGGGAAAAAGGTAGGGGAATAACTGAGATCTGAAACAGGTCAAGTCTGTGTTTTGTCTGACCTTAAGACGGGGAGAGAAGGGTGGTCGTATAAGGGAGAGGGACGGGGAGGGTAGTGGGATGACAGTATAGGAAGGATTATGTTATATGATAGCGATGTTTGTAGTATTACGTCCTAGTTAAGTTGTGACTATAGAGGAGCTGATGTAAATAATGTTACCAGGAAGTTGGCAATGATTACCTCTTCCAGAGAGAGAGAGAGAGAGAGAGTGAGAGAGAGTGAAAGAGAGAGAGAGCAGACTGACAGACACGGAAATAAAGACACAGATAGACAATCAGTGAGACAAAGTGAGAAAGGAGAGAGAGAAACTGTCAGAGATGTAGAGATGAACAGACAGCCAGAGAGAGAGAGAAGTAAAGACAGACATACAGACAATGAGTCACAATAACGTGGCTGAAGTATGTTGACCAGACCACACACTAGAAGGTGAAGGGACGACGACGTTTCGGTCCGTCCTGGACCATTCTCAAGTCGATTTTGAGAATGAAGGGGATAGCTCCCCCCTCACAATCGACTTGAAAATGGTCCAGGACGGACCGAAACGTCGTCGTCCCTGCACCTTCTAGTGTATAGTCTGCTCAACTAAAGAGAGACATGATCACAACATACAAATTACCATAACGGTTGAGGGACTCTTATTCACACCCAGACGGAGGAGGAGGACGACGACCTGCACATTACGACCCCTTCGCCAGAGTTTCTTCCGGCGCCGCCTCCACAATTTGACAACTCCCCCGTGGAGTCTGAGGAGTCGTCACCTCCCTCCTTAGACGTGCCGGCCAACCAGCCCACCACAGCCCACAACATCACCACCACCCACAACATCACATCTAACAACACCGCCAACATCACCACCACCTACAACATCAACCTTCAGGAGACTCGACCCGCCAAGCAATATATTTACGGCATCAGCGACGTTTCAACACCCAAGGTCAGACGACCCAGACATAACCACACATTACTATTTCGTATTTTGAGTAGAAAAACTTGTTATATTTTTGATAGGTTATACCCACTGAAGAGACATTAATATACCAAAGACTAACGTATCTGAAAAGTAGGGTTTTGTATATTATTTGTAGGTATTTGCTGGCTTGATAAGTTGGTTTAAGTAGCTGTGTTTTACAGGAGATGCGCAGCGCCCGCGTTGTGGAGACGGTGGCTAAGAAGCCCGCGCAGGAGAATGTCATCGAGGCGGAGATTCGCGCCCAGCAGGTGAAGGAGGTGGAGATGCTGCAAGAAGGAACACTGAAGACAACGGCCATGGTTGGGCGGGAAAAAGGCGCCTCCTCCCCCGCCAGCCACGACTCCGACGAAGGCTTCGTGGAACGTCTGGCCGAAGACGCCCCAACGGTCCCGGACGCCGGCTACACCCACGCCATCCCTGGCAACGATGGAGAGCCAGTTATCTATGATGCTGTTAGCCCGCCCCATCAGTACTTCTCCGAGAGGTTCGTTGCTGCCTGGTAGGCCTAGCATTAGTAGACATCCATCAGTCTCAGGAGACTATGGAGTTGTGCTCTGGTTGTCGGACTGGAGTGGCCTCATCAGGGCGGCAGATGTCATTAATGTATGTAGTTTATCACTGTATACAATACATTAATGACACATTAAATATGTCAACACCCGTTTTCAATGTTTTAATCTCTTCATTTGAAAATATCATGAAGTTAACTGGTACGTAAAATGTTATATTTAAATTTGTTATCATTAATCTAAAGTTTCTTATGCAATTTGTGAAAAAATTCTTGGATGAAGTTAGTGTGTGGAATGAATTTTGAATTTTGGGATGAATTAGTGGCTTGTGTGTGTTCTTGGATGAATTAAGTGGTTTGTGTGTGTTCTTGGATGAATTAAGTGGTTTGTGTGTGTTCTTGGATGAATTAAGTGGTTTGTGTGTGTTCTTGGATGAATTAGTGGTTTGTGTGTGTTCTTGGATGAATTAGTGGTTTGTGTGTGTTCTTGGATGAATTAGTGGTTTGTGTGTGTTCTTGGATGAATTAGTGGTTTGTGTGTGTTCTTGGATGAATTAGCGGCTTGTGTGTGTGTTCTTGGATGAATTAATGTATGAAGAAGGTGAAGAGGAGAAGATTTAACAAAAGGTCTCCTTCCTGACAGCTCTCCCACACCCATTCCATCCTCGACTGAAACCAAGATCGCCCTTGAGATCCGTGAGCTGAAGGAACGGGAAGAAGAACTCCGTCAGATGAGAGAACGTCTCATGAACTCCTCGAGGGAGAACCTGCTCGACGACGAAGAAGCGAGGAGCTCGGCCTCAAGAGAGCAGCTCCTTGAGGACCACTTGACCTCCCTCACCACCACAACAGACGAGGGCAACTTCTCAGAGTGTGGCGACCCGGCCTCCTCAGAGGACAAGAGTAGCGATGGTTCTAACAGGTGAGGAGTGAAGAGTGTGACTTACTGTTGGTGATTGTTCTCCCTCGTGTACAGGACGTGTCCCTGATGGCAGACTTTTGTGTCCGTGATGGGAGAGTTTTGTGTCCCTGTGTCCCTCTGTCCCTGTGTCCCTCTGTCCCTGTGTTCCTGTGTCCGTGTCCCTGTGTCCCTGTGTCCCTCTGTCCCAGTGTCCCTCTGTCCCTGTGTCCCTCTGTCCCTGTGTCCCTCTGTCCCCCTGTGTCCCTGTCACACTTTTTCCATCAGGTTCCGTGATTATTTTTTTGCTGTGCTCAGAAAGTAGGTTACTTGTTGTTTCGAATGGCTCCTATACTTTTAATTGTTCTCATAATACAATTTATGTGTATATATGGATATTGGAAGTAAAGTTATATCTAGCAAGCAAGATTAGGTCAATCATATAGACTGTCAACACACTAGACAAAGAGGAGTAGCAAAGACTGGACAAAAAGTAAAGTAAAGTTAAAGTCAAAACTGAAGAACAAATTATGATATAAGAATTAGGAAAGATGTGTATATATTAGCCCTAGTTCATAAAAGGAAAATAATATATTGCAAAAAAACAGAATAGGTAAAATTAACTCATAAGAGCTAGAAAGAATTTACCAAACATATAGTTAGCATTATAAAAGGCATATTAAGTGAATCCATATAAGGTACATTAATTGCTGCTCATGCTAGTTTACATATCCATTGGAAAATTAAATATTATTAAGTTCCTCCTTCCAGGCATCACTTTAAAAAGAAATATCCACATATGTGTTCTAAGCAATGTGACTGGCCTACATATACCGTGTGTGTGTGTGTGTGTGATCCAGAAGAGCTGTGGACTGTCTAATTACCGACTTTAATGTATCCACAAATTGCTAGTAATATAAACAAGAGGTCCTGAGTAGTCAGTTGTGCACCACCATGGGTATGGCAGCCCACACCAGCCCACCACCATGGGTATGGCAGCCCACAGCAGCCCACCACCATGGGTATGGCAGCCCACACCAGCCCACCACCATGGGTATGGCAGCCCACACCAGCCCACCACCATGGGTATGGCAGCCCACACCAGCCCACCACCATGGGTATGGCAGCCCACAGCAGCCCACCACCATGGGTATGGCAGCCCACACCAGACCACCACCATGGGTATGGCAGCCCACACCAGCCCACCATCATGGGTATGGCAGCCCACACCAGCCCACCACCATGGGGTATGGCAGCCCACAGCAGCCCACCACCATGGGGTATGGCAGCCCACACCAGCCCACCACCATGGGGTATGGCAGCCCACACCAGCCCACCACCATGGGTATGGCAGCCCACACCAGCCCACCACCATGGGGTATGGCAGCCCACACCAGCCCACCACCATGGGTATGGCAGCCCACACCAGCCCACCACCATGGGTATGGCAGCCCACACCAGCCCACCACCATGGGTATGGCAGTCCACACCAGCCCACCACCATGGGGTATGGCAGCCCACACCAGCCCACCACCATGGGTATGGCAGCCCACACCAGCCCACCACCATGGGTATGGCAGCCCACACCAGCCCACCACCATGGGTATGGCAGCCCACACCAGCCCACCACCATGGGGTATGGCAGCCCACACCAGCCCACCACCATGGGTATGGCAGCCCACACCAGCCCACCACCATGGGGTATGGCAGCCCACACCAGCCCACCACCATGGGTATGGCAGCCCACACCAGCCCACCACCATGGGTATGGCAGCCCACACCAGCCCACCACCATGGGGTATGGCAGCCCACACCAGCCCACCACCATGGGGTATGGCAGCCCACACCAGCCCACCACCATGGGTATGGCAGCCCACACCAGCCCACCACCATGGGGTATGGCAGCCCACACCAGCCCACCACCATGGGTATGGCAGCCCACACCAGCCCACCACCATGGGTATGGCAGCCCACACCAGCCCACCACCATGGGTATGGCAGCCCACACCAGCCCACCACCATGGGTATGGCAGCCCACACCAGCCCACCACCATGGGGTATGGCAGCCCACACCAGCCCACCACCATGGGTATGGCAGCCCACACCAGCCCACCACCATGGGTATGGCAGCCCACACCAGCCCACCACCATGGGTATGGCAGCCCACACCAGCCCACCACCATGGGGTATGGCAGCCCACACCAGCCCACCACCATGGGTATGGCAGCCCACACCAGCCCACCACCATGGGTATGGCAGCCCACACCAGCCCACCACCATGGGTATGGCAGCCCACACCAGCCCACCACCATGGGGTATGGCAGCCCACACCAGCCCACCACCATGGGTATGGCAGCCCACACCAGCCCACCACCATGGGTATGGCAGCCCACACCAGCCCACCACCATGGGTATGGCAGCCCACACCAGCCCACCACCATGGGGTATGGCAGCCCACACCAGCCCACCACCATGGGGTATGGCAGCCCACACCAGCCCACCACCATGGGGTATGGCAGCCCACACCAGCCCACCACCATGGGTATGGCAGCCCACACCAGCCCACCACCATGGGGTATGGCAGCCCACACCAGCCCACCACCATGGGTATGGCAGCCCACACCAGCCCACCACCATGGGTATGGCAGCCCACACCAGCCCACCACCATGGGTATGGCAGCCCACACCAGCCCACCACCATGGGTATGGCAGCCCACACCAGCCCACCACCATGGGGTATGGCAGCCCACACCAGCCCACCACCATGGGTATGGCAGCCCACACCAGCCCACCACCATGGGTATGGCAGCCCACACCAGCCCACCACCATGGGTATGGCAGCCCACACCAGCCCACCACCATGGGTATGGCAGCCCACACCAGCCCACCACCATGGGTATGGCAGCCCACACCAGCCCACCACCATGGGTATGGCAGCCCACACCAGCCCACCACCATGGGTATGGCAGCCCACACCAGCCCACCACCATGGGGTATGGCAGCCCACACCAGCCCACCACCATGGGTATGGCAGCCCACACCAGCCCACCACCATGGGTATGGCAGCCCACACCAGCCCACCACCATGGGTATGGCAGCCCACACCAGCCCACCACCATGGGTATGGCAGCCCACACCAGCCCACCACCATGGGTATGGCAGCCCACACCAGCCCACCACCATGGGGTATGGCAGCCCACAGCAGCCCACCACCATGGGTATGGCAGCCCACACCAGCCCACCACCATGGGGTATGGCAGCCCACACCAGCCCACCACCATGGGTATGGCAGCCCACACCAGCCCACCACCATGGGGTATGGCAGCCCACACCAGCCCACCACCATGGGTATGGCAGCCCACACCAGCCCACCACCATGGGTATGGCAGCCCACACCAGCCCACCACCATGGGTATGGCAGCCCACACCAGCCCACCACCATGGGGTATGGCAGCCCACACCAGCCCACCACCATGGGTATGGCAGCCCACACCAGCCCACCACCATGGGTATGGCAGCCCACACCAGCCCACCACCATGGGTATGGCAGCCCACACCAGCCCACCACCATGGGGTATGGCAGCCCACACCAGCCCACCACCATGGGTATGGCAGCCCACACCAGCCCACCACCATGGGGTATGGCAGCCCACACCAGCCCACCACCATGGGTATGGCAGCCCACACCAGCCCACCACCATGGGTATGGCAGCCCACACCAGCCCACCACCATGGGTATGGCAGCCCACACCAGCCCACCACCATGGGGTATGGCAGCCCACACCAGCCCACCACCATGGGTATGGCAGCCCACACCAGCCCACCACCATGGGTATGGCAGCCCACACCAGCCCACCACCATGGGTATGGCAGCCCACACCAGCCCACCACCATGGGGTATGGCAGCCCACACCAGCCCACCACCATGGGTATGGCAGCCCACACCAGCCCACCACCATGGGGTATGGCAGCCCACACCAGCCCACCACCATGGGTATGGCAGCCCACACCAGCCCACCACCATGGGGTATGGCAGCCCACACCAGCCCACCACCATGGGTATGGCAGCCCACACCAGCCCACCACCATGGGTATGGCAGCCCACACCAGCCCACCACCATGGGTATGGCAGCCCACACCAGCCCACCAGCCCACCACCATGGGGTATGGCAGCAGCCCACCACCATGGGTATGGCAGCCCACACCAGCCCACCACCATGGGGTATGGCAGCCCACACCAGCCCACCACCATGGGTATGGCAGCCCACACCAGCCCACCACCATGGGTATGGCAGCCCACACCAGCCCACCACCATGGGTATGGCAGCCCACACCAGCCCACCACCATGGGTATGGCAGCCCACACCAGCCCACCACCATGGGTATGGCAGCCCACACCAGCCCACCACCATGGGTATGGCAGCCCACACCAGCCCACCACCATGGGTATGGCAGCCCACACCAGCCCACCACCATGGGTATGGCAGCCCACACCAGCCCACCACCATGGGTATGGCAGCCCACACCAGCCCACCACCATGGGTATGGCAGCCCACACCAGCCCACCACCATGGGTATGGCAGCCCACACCAGCCCACCACCATGGGTATGGCAGCCCACACCAGCCCACCACCATGGGTATGGCAGCCCACACCAGCCCACCACCATGGGGTATGGCAGCCCACACCAGCCCACCACCATGGGTATGGCAGCCCACACCAGCCCACCACCATGGGTATGGCAGCCCACACCAGCCCACCACCATGGGTATGGCAGCCCACACCAGCCCACCACCATGGGGTATGGCAGCCCACACCAGCCCACCACCATGGGTATGGCAGCCCACACCAGCCCACCACCATGGGGTATGGCAGCCCACACCAGCCCACCACCATGGGTATGGCAGCCCACCACCATGGGTATGGCAGCCCACAGCAGCCCACCACCATGGGTATGGCAGCCCACAGCAGCCCACCACCATGGGTATGGCAGCCCACAGCAGCCCACCACCATGGGTATGGCAG